GCTTTAACCCGCTGCGCCACCAGGGAGGGCCCGGGATTAATTTTTCATGTGGACATGAATTGTCCCAGGGCCAGTGACTGAGAAGGCCCTCGGGGCTCCCCGAATTGGGGGCGCCTTTATTACAGCTGGTGGCTGCACGGGGGCTGGGACTACACGGGACAGCCGGCGGGCGTTGCCAACTGTCCTCCAAGAGGTGGTGCCAGCTTACACCCCCACGCCCTGGACAGTGAAGGAGGGCGCACCTTCACCCCACACCCTGGAATGCTGGTCTGGGGAATGATGCAAAACAAACTCGCTGTTCTCTGTGCGTGCTCCCTGATCTTGGCCCTTTCTAGTCCTTCTCTGGATTTTCTTCTCTTTTGTCCTTTTCTCCCAAGTGGGTTCTTTATCTCGGCGAGTTACAGGTTATTTTAAGATGCTTCCGCTAGTTGCTGTTGATGTGGTGCAGGTACTCGATCCCGGGGACAGCGGACTCCGGCCTGCTTTTGGAAGTAAGCTTCTGTGGCGCATGCGTTTGCTGGTCTCGACGGCAGTTTCCGGACCATCACAGCGGAGCTGCGTTATTGGGGTGGAGACCGGGGTCTGCCAGAAAGTGTCCCCGCTGGGCCCTTAGGGAAGAGCCTGCCCCTTGCCCTATGCCGTTCGGTGCCTTTGTTCTCCGCTGGTGGCTCACGGAGGTTTCCTGGGCCGGCGCGCCAGTCTCGTGACCTGCTCTTCTACAGAACTTGCATTTTGTGTCTTACCCACCCTGGGCTGACAGGTATATTTCGTATCTTCTGGTTATATTTTTGTGGCCAATGTCAGCTGCATGTCTGCTTTCGAATCCACCAGAAACCTGTTATTTAAGAATCGACAATGTATTCGACGAAACCTAACACATCCGCAGTACTGTTTCCATGTTTCATTCATATAAATCATAATGAGAGAATTTGCTTTCTGTTTTTACTCTTTTGACACCAGATCTTTAAGCAGTTTATCTTTGTGTATGGTGTGAGGTAGGATCCAGCTTCATTACTTTGCAAGCGAGCAGCAGTCGTCCCAACAGCGTTTCTGGACCTTTCCATTCCCACGGGCCTGAGAAGGCGTCTCTGAGGCACTCAGCCTCTTTTCTTCCCGAGTCCGGCCCGGTGCTCCGTGTTCACTTTCCGTCCCCGAGATGGTATCCCATGGCGTTAGTAATTGTAGCTGTCGAGCGGAGTCTGGGCTCTGCTCCTCTTGTGACAATTGATCTTCACCTTCTCTCACCTGGGTGCTAGCGTCACCTGGCCAGGTTCACAGACCAAAACCTTGAGCTTTTGGCCTGGAATTGTCATGAATCATTACAGAGTGGGGTTGCCATCCCTGTTCTGCCAATGAGGAAACTGGGGCTCAGACAGGGGAAGCCACCCGCTTCCCCAGACGGCGGGCGGGCGGGGCAGGCCGGGGCCCCCAGCCTCCGCTGTGGGACCTGAACACCGACTCTGCGGGCCACCTGGTGCCTGGGGACGAGGGCCGCTGAGACCGGGTCCTCGCCTCAGGAGCTCCGGCCTCCAGGGCGCTTGGGTGCATCTGTGCCAGGAGCAGCAGGGGGCATGCAGGCAGCACGGCCTGGCACGGGGGCCAGGATCCTGCGGAGACTCCCTCAGGGGAAGCGGAGGGGGAGCCGCAGCCGCCTGCAGTGGGTGTCGGGGAGATGCCTGTGGCTGCGGGCGGGGCGCTGCAGCAGCGGAGCAGCAGAGCCGAGGCCTGGCGGTGCCAGCCGGGCTCGTGCTGCGCGGTGCGTGGGCTCTGCCCTCCCCGCTGCTCCCGGGTGACCCGCGCCCCTCTCCCCTGCGCCCCGCCCTCCCGGTGCACAGACAAGGGGATGTGGCCCTGCCCCCCTACTACCAGCCGGAGGAGGACGACGAGATGCCCTTCATCTGCTCCCTGTCGGGCGACAACGGCATCATGGGCTGCCACGAGATCCCCCCGCTCAAGGAGCAGGGCCGCGAGTGCTGCCTGTCCCAGGACGACGTGTACGACTTCGGGGCGGGGCGCCAGGACCTCAACGCCAGCGGGCTCTGTGTCAACTGGAACCGCTACTACAACGTCTGCCGCACGGGCAGCGCCAACCCCCACAAGGGCGCCATCAACTTTGACAACATCGGCTACGCCTGGATCGTCATCTTCCAGGTGAGGCCCGGGCCTGGCGCTGGCCCAGGCGGGCGGGGGCGGGGCGAGCCAGGTGTCTGCCACCTGCCTCTGCAGTCTGCTCACCTGCGCGTTCCAGACAGAGCACTCGAGGGGCAAAGAGAGGGAACCAGCCCCGGGGCCAAGGATGGGGTGACCCCACAGCCTGGGCTCTCTGCCGGGTCCCAGGTGGGGGGCTGACCAGGCCGGGCAGCCCCCCTGCTGGGTGGGCTGTGGGGGACATGCCTGTGGAAGTGGCTGCCTGAGCCAAAGCCTGGGTGTAGGGAGGGGAAGGGCCATGGGGGGACCTCAGGGGGCTGTCGGCGGGTGCAGGGCAGGGTCTCTCAGACCCCCCTTTTTTCCGCGAGCAAAAAGCAGTCTGTGTTCAGGGCACTGGGGCTGCAGGACCCGGTGCGCTGCCTGAGGTCTCTGTTGCCTCAGTTTGCTCATCTCTACATGGGGTGCTAGCAGCGCACCCCCTCCCTGGCCTGGAGTGACTGAGAGGGGACCCCATGTGCCGCGGCGTGCTCCATCTGGAATGGGGCAGGGCCAGAGCCGGCAGCTGCGCCGGGGGACCCCCACCCCGAGACGGGCGGGCCTGCTGGGGCTCCCGCCAGGAGCAGAGAGCTCCACTGGGCCGTGCTGGGGTGCCCAGCACTGTCTTGCCTCGCGCTGCTCAGCCTCTATCTCTGGAAAAGTGTGTTTGGGGGACAGGGTCCCCAAGTCACAGCCGCGCTCCGGGCTCCTCTGAGCTGCACCCAGCCCTGCCAGGGCCTCTGCTGGCCTCATATATCCGAGCAGCAGCTGAGGCTCCAGGTGGCCCAGCCCGCGAGCTGGAGCCTGGGGGCCCCCGCACCCCCTCCCCGGCGTGGTGTGGTAGACGGGAAGGGGGTGAGCCCTGCGGCGAGGGGACGGGGCTCCAGTCCCGTGAGGTCCGTCCTGGCTGTGGGGCACCGGCGGAGGCCCCAGCTCGCTGAGCCTTGCTGTCCCCTCCTGCGAATGGGGACGCTGGCCCCGCCGGGCCCCTGCGAGAAGATCGTGCGCGTAAAGTGTCCGGGCCCACAGCGGGGCCCCGGGGGGCCCCACCCCACCCCAGCCGCTCTGTCCTGGCTGCAGGTGATCACCCTGGAAGGCTGGGTGGAGATCATGTACTACGTGATGGACGCCCACTCCTTCTACAACTTCATCTATTTCATCCTGCTCATCATCGTGAGTGTCGGGGCTGGGGCCCCTGGCCTGTACACGGATCCCTGCGGAGGGGGCCCTTGGGAGTCCCCAGGGAGCCCATCACGCGGGAGGCGGTGTTCAGTGTGGCCGAGAGGCGGGTGATTGAAGGGGCTCGTCGGGTTCGGCTGCTGGAAACATCCATCACCCCCGACTGCCTTCGTTTCTATTTCTGGGCGTTTAAGTCCGGCCGCTTGCTCCGGCCCCTTGCTCCTCTGCCTCGTCGTCTCTGGGAGTGCACTCTTTTCGTGGTGGTAGCCGGGATGCGGTCTCAGGATGGAAGCTTCCCGAGGCTGCAGCTTGCCCCTTTTTCCCGGGCCCGGGCAGATGTCCCAGATGGAAGCTTCTAGAAGGGCTGCTTCTCGGGCAGGGCTTGCAGAGAGGCCGCCATGCTGCTGATCTGGAAATCCTTGCGGGGACTATGGCCTGTCAGGCACCTCTGCCTTGTGGGGGTGACCTGGAGGGAGACGGGGGGCCCTTTCCTGGTCAGCCCCTTCGCCCTCCCGCCCCCACAGTCTTCCAAGCCCAGTGACTGAGCGAGTGAGCTCATCGCCTTGTTATGCCTGGCTGCAGCTTCAGCTACCGCACAGCCCCCCAAATGTCAAGGTGATTCACTCCCGGAGCCTGGCTCCTGGCTCCCTGCCCGTGAGCCGCCCTCTCTGGCAGCAGCACACGGGGCCTTAGGGCAGCACCCCAGCCCGGCCCTGGGGGTTCAGGACAGGCTGGCCGGTGACATGGCACAACCTGCTGCAGGCTTAACTCTGCAGCTTTCCTGGGGAGATTGGGGGCCTTGAACCCACATGGAGGCACCCCAGCAAAGGAGGGGGCCCAGGCTTTCTTCAGGATGGCCGGGAACTGGTTTGTTCACTCAGGAGCACTGCCCCAGGCCCGGGGCGGGGAGCCAGCCATGGGGAGGGTAAGCTGCGGCCTCAGGGACCAGACCTTCCTGGGAGCCAGGGGAGAGGGAGGCCCCAGGGGGCTGAGGGAGCCCCTGGTTGCCAGGGGCAGGGAAGTGGGAGGCTTCCTGGAGGAGGTGATGCAGGGAGACTTACAGGGTGGGGAGTGGGGGGGTGGGGTGGGGCCGAGCCAGAGGAAGTTTCTGGGCAGGGGCGACACGCAGAGACCCTCAAGCTGGGCAGAATTCTGCCGTGAGGAACTGTAAACCGTTTCAGAAAGGGACTGGGAATGCACCTTCTCTCTGCCTCATGGAGTTAAGGTGGGAGTCTGGGGTGACCCAGGCAGACCCTAGCTCACAGTGACCCCAGCTCACAGTGGAATGGGACCCAGGGCCAGCACCCGGCCCGTGGGCTCTGTGGAGAGCTGAGGTGGAAGCTGAAGCCTGCACAGCCGCCCTTCCTCGGCCTCTCCCAGGCCCCGCTCCCCCCAGCCCTGTGGGGGGACAGGAACCTGGGGCTGGGACCGAGGGCCCCCATGGTGGGCGGCCTCAGGAAGTTAGAAGCCGCCTCCTCTGACCGGCAGGCCGCTGAGCCTCTCAAAGACTTAGCAGCAAATGCCAGGGGCAGGGCCTGCCCGCCCCACCCAGGCAGGAAGGGCTGCTCCCCTGGCCCCCCAAGCCCTGGCGAGCCCCACCTGGGCCGTCCTTCCCCTCCACCGCCCCCCCAGTACAGACAAAGCCACACAAGACAACCCCTTCTGTCGAGGCCAGAGAGCGGACAGCGGCTGTGGCTCAGGGCTGCTGTCCCGGGCAGGCGGGCAGCTGTGGGGTGGCCAGGGCCTAGGGCCCGGGGGAGCTGGACTTGATGTGAGCCTGGTTGGTCAGGGAGCGGCCTGGGCCACCGCTGAGCAGGTGCTGGCCTTGTCCTGGGCGCGTCCTCAGAGATGTCTTCCCGCCTTGTGTGCCCGCCCCGCCCCTCCCTGCCCGCGCCCGCCTCGCTCGGCCTCCCACACCCGGCCGGCCGCTCTCGGGGTGCCTCTCCCCCTCTCGCGCTGTCTCTCCTCTCGGGCTGCCCGCACTCCCCCCGTCCGGTCTCTGCGCCCTGCCCGCTGACCCTCGTCCGGCCCTGGCCTCCCGTTGGCCGCAGGTGGGCTCCTTCTTCATGATCAACCTGTGCCTCGTGGTCATCGCGACCCAGTTCTCGGAGACCAAGCAGCGGGAGCACCGGCTGATGCTGGAGCAGCGGCAGCGCTTCCTGTCCTCCAGCACAGTGGCCAGCTACGCCGAGCCGGGCGACTGCTACGAGGAGATCTTCCAGTACGTCTGTCACATCCTGCGGAAGGCCCGGCGCCGCGCCCTGGGCCTGTACCAGGCCGTGCAGACCCGCCGCCAGGCCCTGGGCCCCGGGGCGCCCGCCCCCGCCAAGCCCGGGCCCCGCGCCAAGGAGACCAGTAAGTGGCCGGCGGCGGGGTCCTGGGGAGCGCCGCCTGGACAGCCTGGCCGCACACGCAGGGCTGTCTGGGCCAGAACCCCCACCCGTGGGCGCTCCCCCTTCCGCAGCGCCTGGCAGCACTGGCCGGCCTGTCCTGGAGGACGCGCCCCTGTCTCCCGGGGTCGTGGCCTGGCTCCGGCCCGGACCCACCCTTGAGACAAACAGCTGTCCGTCCTCAGTCGGGACAAACGCTCACCCTCTGCCGGGGCCACGGGCTCCTGCCGCCCCCGCCTGCCCGCGAGCCCCAGAGACAGGACCTACGGCCACCTGGAGTGACGGGCGTGGCTGCCCTGCACAGGTGTGGCACGTTGGGGGCCCACAGCACCCCTCAGTCTGCGTGGGCCCACTTCTCCCTGTGTCTCTAGCTGCCCTTGCGAGGGCGGGCGCTGTGGGTCGGAGGAGGCTCTTAGCGCTCTCCCCTGTTCGCTCAGTTGTCCCGATCAGGGGGTGCAGTGAGTAACAGTGTCCTAGTGTCCGGCTGGGGCCGCCGAAGTCAGAGGTGAAGGGGTCACCCAAGGCCACACTGCGAGTCGGCAGTCACCGGGCTGGGCTGCCCCGGGGCCGGGCGGCGGCTGCCTTGGGAGGCAGGTGCCCTCCAGGAGGTGGCCCGTGCGGGCTCATCCTGCCCGGTTGGCGCCACGAAGTGCGTCGGGGCCCCCGGAGCGCCCGGACGGGCATATGCAGGGAGCGGTGCCCTGGGAGCGGCCCACAGGCCCGGCCCTGAGCTCTGCTGCCAGGTGGAGATTCCAGGGCCAGCTGCAGAGTCTGGCTCCGGGCAGCTGCCAGCCAGGCCTGGCCTTGGGGGCGGCGCCAGGTGGCCCGTGGGCTGGCTCAGCACGAGGAGCGGGGCTGGGGCTTGGCTGACAGCTCGGGGGCTGTTTACTCCCAGGGGCTTCCTGCTGCCGCCCCCCTGTTCCGGGGAACTGTGTGGAGGAAGTCCCGGGGTGCATGGAGGGGGGCCTTGCCCCTGGCCCGCCTCGTCTTCCTTCTCCCTTAGCTTCGCTTCTCCCGAGGGGCGTCTGCCCTCGGTCATCCCGAGGGGGCGGCTGTCGGGGCCCCAGTGGGGTCACTGTGGGGCCTGGGCCGGGATGTGAGGGAACCAGGGCAGGGCTGGGCCTGTCACGCCTTCCTGGCCGCCCTGGGAGGTGAGAGCGCCTGGCCCCAGCGTGTCCCCGAAAGCCCGGGCTGCAGGGCCTGCCGGCAGGCTGACGCACACACACCTGTGTCTGCTTAACCCGGGACCTGGCGCGGCCAGGGGCTGCCTCCCGAGACGCTCGAGCCGGCCTGCGGCTCGCTGCCAGCGTGGCGGACGCTGACCCAGCCCTCTGTTCCCTTCTCAGAGCCGTGCCCGAGACACAGCCCCCTGGGCCCGACGCCCCACACGCTGGTGCAGCCCATCTCTGCCATGCTGGCCTCCGACGCCGCCAGCTGCCCCCGCTGGCGGTCCTCGGGCCCGGGCAGCGCCGACTCTGGCCAGGAGGGCTCGGGCTCCAGCGGCTCCGGCGGCCGTGAGGATGAGGCCGAGGGGGACGGCGCCCAGAGCAGCGAGGACGGGGCGTCCTCGGGGCTGGGGAAGGAGGACGAGGAGGAGCGGGCGGAGGGCGCGGCCCGGCTGTGTGGAGACGTGTGGCGTGAGACCAGAGCCAAGCTGCGCGGCATCGTGGACAGCAAGTACTTCAACCGCGGCATCATGATCGCCATCCTGGTCAACACCGTCAGCATGGGCATCGAGCACCACGAGCAGGCCAGTGTGTGGGCCTGGGCGCCCCGGCCCATCCACCCTGACACCGAGACCGGGGCTGCGGGGCTGGGGTCCCCCTCCGGGGCACCCAGGTTCCTGGCCCGGACTAGGCCCAGAGGGGGGAGGAGCCCCGGAGGTCTGGCCCCCGGCTCTGGTGGGCCCCCTCCTGAACCTGCACCCCTGCCTGTAGGACACCCCATCTGGCCCCTGCTGGCCCTGAGGCCCCCAGAGGGAACGTTAGAGGCAGGACGCACCCCAGTCTCTGTGTGGCAAGACTGAACCCCTGCAGGGTTTAGGCTCGGAGCCCCCCTAGCTTTTCCTGTGGCCCCCAGGCCCACCGCTGTGCTCTGTGGGGGCCACGCTCTCATTTCCCTATTCATTAGTCAGCCAAGGCAGCCTCCATTCAATTTACTTAAATGAGGCCCCTGGGGCTGCTGGGAGCTGCGAGCTGCTGGTTTGCCAGCCATTCTGGCTTAATTAAAAGGGTCTCTGGGGCGGGGCGGGGCGGGGCTGCTTCTCTGAGGGTGTAGCTGGTGGGCAGGCAGCCTAGACCCCTGGCCTGGGGTCCAGCCTGCTGGCCTTGGCCTGATGCAGGCCAGCAGTGGGCAGAGGCCTGGCAGGGCCCAGGCCCCTTGGGGCAGGGACTGATGCTGCTGGGTTCTGGCCCGGTCTGGGTTGGGGCAGCACCCAGGGGCCTGTGCCCACCCTGTGCATGACAGCTTGGCGCTGTCCCTGCCAGTGGCTGGCTGGAGCCCGTTTCCTGAGGCTCAGGAGTTTTGCAAACCCTTTGGCAAATGGTTGGTAGCTTGAAACTGGCCGTGGGGGCAGGGCTTGCACCATGGGCGTGCGTGACAGGTGGGGCATCACTCGGAGGCCTGTGCCGGCCCTCTTGCCTCCTCAGCCAGGCTCGGGCCCTGCCCCAGTGTCCTCAGGGGGCCCCCCATGCCCCCACCCGGCCTTCCCCTGGACCTCTCCATCCTTCCGCTCATGCCTTCTGGCCTAGAATTCGGGGAGGCCTCTGCGCTCGGGCCCCACAGGCTGGGAGAGGCCTCTGCCCCCCAGGACACCGGGCTTCCCTCTTCTAGGAGGCGGGTGTCCTTCCTAAAGGTGGGCATCGCTGCCCGCCGGGCGTCAGGCCCTGACCCCACGCGGTGTCATCGAGTCCTCCGCCCCGGTCCACCCACGGGCCGGTGTGGCGAAACCCACCGCAGCATCGCACCCCGCTTCCTGGCTCTGTGCTGGCGGCCAGGTGCCGTGGCCAGTCACTGGGCCTCCCTCAGCCTGGGCCCCCCTGTAAGTGGGCGCTCGCGCCCCGCCGCACAGAGGGGCCTGGCACGGTGAGGGATTTTTTATGAGTCTTTTTGAGCTGCCATGAATTTACCATCCTCCATCTGGAGCCTCAAAAAATTAATTAATTAAAGAGAAGATGAGGGGGAGGGAGAATTTAAAAACGGCCTTTCTATAGCTGCTCCCAGTGGCAGCCTGTGCCCCGCCCAGCTCTCGGGGTGGCTGGGCCCCCCCTTGCTCCCGCCCGTTGGCTCCCAGAGGCTGCTCTGCAGAATGGATGCCCCCACTGTCTATTTTTGAGCAGCCCCCTCTGAGGTGGCCCTGGCAGAGGGAGGTGGCCCAGGGCGTGGGGGAGGGGCAGGCGGCCGGGGCGGGGTGTGTGTGTGTGGGGGGGGGCAGGTGCCGAGCCCACCCATCCCCTGCCCTGCCTCACTGGCTGCCCACTCGCCATCACCACCCGGCCATGGGGGGCTCCGTGGCCCCCTCCTGTGGCCATGGGGTGGGAGCAGGCGGGAGGGAGGCTGGGGGCAGGCGGGAGGGAGGCTGGGTGTCACTCTCCTGCCGCCTCTGCTAGAGTCCTCAAAGGAGGAGGTTTCTGGTGCCTGTGGCCTTGAGGGGTCACGGTGGCCACATCACGAGGGGTGCCAGGGGGTTCCCGCTGCGGCAGACGCTGCTCCCTTCAGGGACAGACCTGGGAGATGGTGACAGGTGGAAGGAGCCTCCTGGGAGCAGTGTCCGCCTCCTGCTCCCTCCCTGGGCGCCCCTTTGACCAAACAGGTGACCCCCTCCCTACAAGCTGTGTGGAGCTGCCCTGCGCCTCCCCCTGCCCTGAAGGGGAGGATGGTCACTGAGCTGCCCCCAAGGCCTGCGCAACGGGGTGGAGGTGTCCCGGTCGCCCAGCTCCCGGGCAGCTGCCCTCGAGGCCCCCAGTGTTGCGGTCCAAGCAGCACCCCCTCAGCAGCGCTGGCGATTCTGGGCGGAGGTTGGGGTGTCTTAGGCCTGATATCCCCCCTCTGCGGGGCTTCGTGCTGAGGGACACCAAGGTGGGCGGCCGGCGGGGAGGGCTTCTGGGCAGCAGCTGGAGCCGGACCCTGCAGGTGGCTAGAGTCCCCACCGAGGGGCGGGGCAGGTCAGACACGGGGCGGAGGCGTCCGAGCCCTGAGCCCTGCCCGAGGAGGGTACTGGCAGGCAGGCGGACATCCCACGGGCGGGCGGGGGCCTGTTCGGAAGGGCCTTGGGTGGGCTGTGGCCTGGGGCAGTCGGGGCCTCGTTAGCAGGCAGTGACTTGTTTGCACGGAATCGGAGCCTCAAGTTGGAAAACTGGGGCCAGCGAAGGTGCCTGGACCTCGGGTGGGGCCGGCGGGCGGAAGTCTAACCCAGCTGCCGTGGCTGTCGGGGAGGCGCTGGGCTCCGGCCTGCAGGGGCAGCTCAGAGACGCCTGCCCGCCGGCCCACGTGCAGAAATGGCCGGAGGCCGCCTCCCCAGCCTGGCATGGGGCTCAAGCGGCAGGCCAGCCTGGCCCCGCCTGCCTCCCCCCTCCCCTCCCCCCTTCTCCCCTGGCCTGGGTCTTCCCACCTCTATCTTAGCGTGGTTCCCTGCCGCGCCCCCAAAGGGTGAGTCCTTGCTGTCTCCAGTTGCTTTCCGCACCCCAGTCTGTCTGTGTCTGTGCTCCGCGGCCGGCTGGCCCCGCAGTGTCCTGATCTGGCCCTGCCCGCTCTGGGCACCTGTGTCCCTCCCTCTCAGGCCCCGCCCCAGCCTTTGTGCTCGCTTCCGGATCTCTCTGTCCGTCCATCTCTTCCAGCCTCCGTGTCCCCCTCTGTCACCGCCCGTCTGTCTCCCGGCGCGTCCCGGCTTGGCTCTGGCCTCCGCGTCTGTGTTCCTCTGTCTCTGCCGCTTGCTGTCTCTCACCCAGAAAAACGCTGTCAGGAGTGACGGATGGTCGCAGCGGGGAGGTGACCAGAGAAACAGCTGTTTTGAGGGAGCAGGGGAGCGAGCGGGCGACCTTTCCAGAGCTCGGGCGCCCGCCTGGCTCGTGGGGGCCACGTGCGTGCTGTGCTGCCCGGCAGCAGGGCAGCCCCGACACACTGTTGGGGTCACGTTGTCCATCTCCGTGGCCCTGGCTTTGGAAGGGTGGGGCGGCAGCGGCTCGGTGCGGCGTCTGGCTCCTGGCTCAGCCAGGCTGCCCAGCCCCAGCCCTCCCCACCACGGGGCCGCTCAGGGCCCACGCCCCTCTGGGGACCATTTTATGAGTCCAGTGTAATTGCAGATGGAAATGGGGCTCCTTTTCCTTTTACGGGGCTGGAGAGGACCTGGCGGTTTTATTAGATTTCTCGGGCACCGGCGGGAAGCAGGTGCTCGGATTCTTCTCTCTCTCATCTCCTCTGGACACACAGGGGCCTGCCCTGGGGAGGCCCCGCTGCCCTGCGCCCCTGCTGGCCCCCTTTGCCCCGTGTCCGCTGCTCTGCCCAGCTGCAGGTCTCTGCTGAGACATCATTTCCTCCAGCAAGCCGCTCCTGACTCCACACGCTGTCCCCTACTACCCTGAACTTTCCTGGGATTTTAGCTTTCACCAACCCGTCTGTTAACTCTCTTCTTGAGCGTGGCCCCGTGGGGGCGGGGCGGGGAGAGACCTTCCTGCTGCTTTCAGCCAGGGGCTTGGGGTCCAGCCACTGTGGTGGCCGGCAGACCTGTGGGCGAGGGTGGAGGCGGCCGGTGGCCCGTTCGGAGCCGGAGTGGGCCAGCGCTGCGGCCTCGGCTTCCTCACCTGAGAATGGAGATGCCAGCGGGGCCTCCCGGCTGGTAACTCAGCCCTTCTCCACGATCCAGGTGGGAACACCTGGCTCCACGGTGTGCAGGAAGCAGACATTTGACCAGTCTTGGGGTCCGTAGAGGGCGCCAGGCCCTGGGCCTCACATGGCTCTCAGCAGCAAGGTTTATTGTCTCCTTCCATATAGATGAGGGAACTGAGGCCGGGTGGGTGCGTGGGGGACCAGCGTGGCCTGTTTCACACTCCAGGGTTGATCACCATGATGGCCCCATTTGTGCGGTGCCACCAAAGCACTCTGGGGCCGATGACGTCTGTGTGGCCAGGGGCCTGTCTCTTTCTGACCAGCTGGACTTCACTGCTTCTCTCGGGTCTGGGCGTGGGGGAAGTGAGCACCACCCGCCGGAGGTCGAGGGGCCGGGTGCCAGCTATCGGGGTGCCATGGCGGGCGTGGTCTCTGTCCCTAGCTGCCCAGGGTCCTGAGGTGGGCGCTCCCGAAGGGAAGAGGGGCAGGCTGGTGGGTCTGCGCGGGGACGGTTGACGGAGGAGTCTGGCGCGGGGCTGAATCCTGGCTCTGCCCCTTACCAGCCCGGCAGCCCAACCTGTCTCCTCACTGCAGAGTAGAGCTCGGGAGGGGCTGAGTGAGCCAGGGCCGCAGAGTCACCCGCCGGGTTCGGGGCGTGGGCTAACACGGAGTTGCCCGCAGCCACTGCCTGCCTTCCACGTGGCCCTCTGAGCCTCAGTCTCCTCATCTGTAGAGTGGGTTTCAGCACACCTCCCTCAGCAGTGACACCTACCCATTTACAAAGAAGGGTGAGCCACCCCCGTGGCCTCTCAGGTCCCTGGCGTGGCAGAGTCCCGAGGGACTCGTGGCCATTGGACCTGATCGGGCGCACATGGAGCTCCGGCGAGGACACTGGCCTCTCAGGGGACCGTAGAGTCCTTGGGTGTCCACAGGGGACCCGGTTGCCCTCTGGTCTGACTGGGCCCCCCACCGCCCCACCCCACAGCCCGAGGAGCTGACCAATATCCTGGAGATCTGCAACGTGGTCTTCACCAGCATGTTTGCCCTGGAGATGCTCCTGAAGCTGGCGGCCTTCGGGCTCGTTGACTACCTGCGCAACCCCTACAACATCTTCGACAGCATCATCGTCATCATCAGGTGCCGCCCCCAGCCGGCAGCAGCCCCGGCCCAGGAGCAGGGAGGGAGCAGGGGCAGTCACGAGCCCAATCCCCAGTAGACCATGCGCAGGGCAAAGGGAAGCGGTCACGTGAAACACAGTTGTCAAAGCCTCTACATGGTCGGGGCTCCGCGCGTGTGTGCGTCTGGATCAGCGCATTACACAGCAAGCCGAGCGGCGGGCCCGTGACCCCCACGGCAGGGGGAGTGTAAGTGCACTCCCATGTCTGCCTCGGCCCTCATGTGGCATGAACACATCAGGGATGTTGACTGGGCACAGGCCACAGGAACTGCTCATTCTCTTATTTACACTCATAATCAAAAGCATGGTAAATCTCAAACAAAGGTCAGTAATATTTGTAGGTTTCCTGAGTTCTAGACATAGACTTTAGTGGAGGATTCCAGGTCAAGAATCCCCAATTAGAGTGGGCCATGGGACAGCAGTATTCTGTGGATGGGTGGATGGATGGATG